CCCCCCCCCCCCCCCCGGGAAAGAGCATCACAGCCACTGAGCGGACACCACCATGGAACAGGGACTTTTAAAGAGGAGGGAAAAAATTCTGTGGGGGTTAAGAATTTTAGCAGACACCTGTTAATCAGAGTCAAGAGATGCAAAGTCCCACCAACGCCGTGCAGAGATCTCACCACGGTGAGAAAGTCAGCTCCCATACCCAGGTTCCTGTGAAGGGGACACTTGAGGCTTTCCCACAAGGATGCTCTTGCTGACGCCTGCTCAGGGGAGAGGGCATAATCTAGCTTTCGGAACAACTCTGGCTAGAAGTGCTCGAGACCTTACGACCCCCCACTTCCTCTGACTGCTTCCTCATCTGTTCCCTTGATTCTGATCTGGCCAAACATGCGGAGCCTGAGAAGCCCCCATACTAGCGCATACGCAGGGGATGCGGCACTTACTCAGATCCTGCAGCCATATCTGAGTAGGATGTATCTGGTGTGGTGACTCCCAGAGGGATTGCAATGCTCATGACGTCCGTCAGGGATCACGGAGTCCAAAGGGTAGCGACCAGCCGCTCCAAGGGCGGAGAGGAGCCGCAGAGCCTCGGCCAACACGTCACGGACATGGGGAAACCTGCCGGGGTGGGGAGGGAACAGCGTGTTGCATTTCTGTTAGTTTGGCGTACACGTGTGGCTTCCCTGACACACCTTCCTCTGGCACAAGGAAAGCAAGCCGCTTTCTACCCAGTAAGATGCACCGTCACCTCTGCTTCTTGCTCAAGTACCCTGTACAGCCCTGTCATAACCTGAAATGAGCCGCTTTGCCAACGGGCCAATAATGCTACTTCCCCAAACTAGGCTTAGCACCGATTAACACAGTCAATCTGTTCTTTCTTTTTGCACCTGATTAGTAACAGCTGTTGTCTCTTGCCACAGCCTTTCATGAACCTCCCCGCCACCCCCAGCAAATCCCATTCCCAGAGAGAAGGGAGCACAGTAAAAAGCAGCCAGAAGCCTGATTTGTGCTCAAATTATACCTACATTTGCTGCATGCGCACTGGGGTCACGTACTCATAATGCAAGAATAATCTGCAAACAGGCCACTGAGGCTGCTCTCTATGAGAAGCCAGCCCCCAAAATCTGTGTGGCTCACTGGAGAGAGAGAGGAATGATGCAGGGAGCCATAAGCTTCCTGAATCCCATCTTACAACTCCCAGCAGCCAAGCCACGTCAGACATCACATCATGTCCTGATAGGCCCGTTGAACGAGAAACACTGCGGCCCCATTGGCTCCTTTCAGAACAAGAGGGTGAGTCACAGTCGTATCACTCCGGGAGTGAGCGCAGCTGCGGGCCGCACTCTGCAGAGCGCCGTGGAGAAACCGCACCGCCAGACAGACCATGGACAGGAAAACCCAGGCCTAGGCCCTAGAGTCACTGCGCCAGGACCCAGGTTTTTGCAGCAAATTCAAGTAAAATGGGTGAAAACGCTACACTTCCAAAAGGACAATACTGCACAACAGGGAGGGAAGGGTCAATGCCTGCGTGGGCAAACACACCCGAGGACGTGAAAGTTATCACTCGAGGAAGTTGTAGGTAGCACCTGCACCTCTAACAGAGCCATGCATGAAGCCGGCAAGGGCACTGGAAGGACACAAAACCCAAACAGCAAAGGACTATGGGGAACCAGAGAGAAGTTCCAGCTCCTGGTCTAGCTTTAATTGATGCAAGCCTAAGGAAGTGTACGGCGCTGCTGCATTTCACTGAATGCAAGCACAGACCGTGGCGTGGAATCAAAGGAAAGTACTGGGAGGGCTGGGGCAATCTGCTCGCAACAGCAGATCCCCATCTCGGGAAGGAAAGCCTTAAATTCTTTCAAATGAAAGATAACCAGTTCCTCAGAGTACGTGGGGACTGAAGCCCCAGGGAATTCTTTAGGGCTTGGCAACTGCCGGTCCACACCAGCTGCCCGTCCAGGTACAGTCACACTTGCTCACTGGCGCCATCCTGCCAGGTAGTCAGCAAACACTCCTGGGCTGTGGAAAGGCCGATGGACAAAGCGCAACCCGGTAGCGACAGGTGCAGGCAGAGCGTGGTTCCTCTCGGTGAGCCGGTCTGACGATAACGGGCAAGTCTGCCACTTAAGCAGACAGCCCTGACCGAGTCTGAGAGGGGAAGGAAAGGACAGAAAATGCTGGTGTCAGCATGTGGGACTTGAAACTCAGCGTTCAGGATCCTTTAAATCTTAGGCTTGAGGCCATCTCTCTCTGGGTATGGGGAAACCTTCCCCTTCTGCCCAACCGCAGCACTTCCACATGGATCCACCTCTGCTCCAAGCGACACCCTGCGACAGGCATCCTTACAGTGGGATAAAGGGTAGAGGCACAGCATAGCAGAGACCTGGCTTCTCTCCGGCACTTAGCAGCCCATGGCAATGCCATGCCACGTCACGGGGAAATGGACCAAACAGCCTTAGAAAGGAGGGGAAGGGGAGGCAGCTAAGAAAGGCAAACAGGCAGCCAGCTAACAAGCAGTCCCATCACAGAGGCCGGCTGGGCATCTGGGGAAACGAGCCTTTCAGAACTGGAACTGCCCCTCTGGCCTGGTTCTTCAGCTACTGGTGTGATTTTTTTTTTTTTTAAACTTAGGAGCCAAAAGGGAGATATTACCCCTAAGACAGGACAGAAAAGGAGGTTCCCAGTTCCATTGGCTAGGCTGGGTTCAACCTTAGAGACTGGCAACTGGTCTCATCTCATCTCCTCTCCAAAAATCTCACTGTTTTCGCTGCTAAATACATCCTCCTTTTCAAAGAGGAGAACTTCCATTGCAGTTCAGTTTCCACCTAAGTGAGGCCAAACAGCTTATGCCAAGACTGCAGACAGAGTGAAGTCAACTACCAGGATTTGCACTGATCTGCCCGGTGCCTCAGAAAAGGCAGGCTCAAAAGCCGTGACCCATAGCGATGCTGCTGTTGCTATATTCTCATCCAGCAAAGGGGAAATACAGCACCAAAAATGAAAATGATGTCAGCTACGAAGGCCGTGGCTTGTAGAGTACCAGCACACACCTTACTGCCCGCGCTGTCAGTCTTTCTGGTGCCTGTTGCATAGAGCGATTCCTCTTCAACACTAGGCTATAGGGACTACCAGAAAGCCAGAGCCTAGAAAAATGCCCGAGGAAGGTTTGGAACCTGGTACAAGCAGCTTGCTGACCTAAGGACAGATGCCAGCATCTACTGGATAGCCCAACAAAGGAGCGATGTGCCTTCCCCATGTGCCAAGTCATTCTCCCCTTTCTCTTTTGCTCTCCAGTACCAGGGACCCAACTGACCCAGCATCCCTGACGCAGTCTGTAGTCATGAGGAGGTGACACATGCACTAGGTTCTTTGTAGGACAAATAAAAGATGGGTCCTTCACCCAGATCGTACAATGCAGGTATCGCACAGAAGCTGAGAAGGGGTGATGTCTGCTTCCTACCTAGCAGCTAATGATGGATCCCTTGACCCCAGCTGAGTTCCTGCCCCTTGGGCAGGGGGTTGGACCCGATGATCTTGCAAGGTCCCTTCCAGCTCTAATATCTATGAACTCTGTGACTGCTGACATCATCAATGTCCTGCTTCATGGAAGCTGCTCTCTGTACACAGGCCAGGGCTAAGAAGGTGAAACATTCTCCACAGCAGGAGTATGCGATCGCCTCACAGCCCTTTTGGAGGCAGAAGCCTGCTGTTCAGTTTTTCCTAATACTGCTGCTTGGATTGCTGGTGCCTAGTCTTGTCCACAGACTGCAATCAGTGCTCAGACTCAGACATGTTATAAAAGCAGATCATAACCCCTTTGCTATTTTAAACCAACATGATGAGAGATTTGTAGTGTGGCTTATGGACCCAATACTCCCAGAACCTGCAGTAAATTATTAGAAATTTTGGTGCAGCTGCAACAGGTCCCAACTCATTCTTCACATGATGCATTCCTCCTGCCAGCACTCTTCAAATACCCAGCAGCAAACTCTCCCCTCTGGAGAATCCATCTTTATATTGGCCTGGGGATGCAAAGCCCTAACCTCTGTGCCAGTGCTCCCCAGATCATGCCACCCAACACCGCACTGCTGTGGTGCCCCACCCGGCTGCCCTCTCCCCCAGCAGGCTGGCAGGGAGCAGGAGCTGCAGGAGGGAGGGAGGACTCAGAGATTCCCCCCCCCCCCCCCCGGGGGGGGG